TGTAAGTTGAAGTATCCGACATATCAATTATTTGAGCATTGTGCCTAGTGTATCGGGTGCCCTCTGGACGGCATAGGACTATATATGTAGGGAGCGAAACTGGAATTATGCTATTCACTATTTTATAGAAGGTCATAAGATCGTTATAAATAAACTTCTGTTTAACAGGGAGAATATTTAGTTTCTTTTGCTCTGTAGCAAGTTTATCGTCATTATAACTGGAGTAAGGTTCACCATTGATCCATTTAACAGCCCTCTTTTGGATAGCAACAAACTGTTGAAGATGAGTTGCAGATTGAGGGGACCATATGACAGAACAATGTTCAAATATAGACCTAATTAACGCTAAATAGAACGATCTTTTCTGCCTTTTATCAGTAGTGAAATGACATGTTCTCTTAAGTAGTCCAAGTCTAGAGGTAGCTTTGGAAACAAGCGCTTTACATTGTGCACCCCAATTAAACCTGGAGTTTATTGCGACTCCTAAATCTGACTGAGAGGGCACAAAGTCAATATCACTTCCAGAAAGTTTATAAAAGAAGGTATTGAATGGCAAGTTATCCAGCACGTTTCTTTGCAGGGACACAGAGAGGGCTTTGCACTTTTGTGGGTGGAACTTCATTCGATTTCTCACTGACCAATCATATAATCTGTTGATGTCATTTTGGATTATGTGATGGTCAGGGTAACCAAGGATCTCCCTCCAAATTTTAGTGTCATCTGCATAAAGGGCGATATTGGTGCCTTCAGAGACACAGGAGAACATGTCATTTATAAATATTACAAACAATAAAGGGCCAAGTATAGAACCTTGAGGGACACCAGACCGAACTGGTAGAGAAGAAGACGTTTGGCCTCCTATCACTACTTGTTGTTGTCGCCCCTCAAGATAGGACTTAATAAATTTAAGCATTAGTCCATCGACATTAAAAATATTCTTTAATTTACTTAAAATGAGGTCATGCGAAACGCTATCAAAAGCTTTCGCAAAATCAAAATATATTATATCAGTCCTGGACCTGTTATTCAATGCAAGTGCAAGATTGTCCGTGAAAGGTATCATTTGGGTTGTGCATGAACGTTCATTAACAAAACCGTGTTGTCGGTCATCCAACAGATCAGAACATGCAGCGTATAATGCAGTCTTTATGCACCTTTCAAAGACTTTCATTACAAGAGATGTTAACGAGATAGGCCTGTAGTTCTCAACCGAAGACTTATCGCCCTTTTTGTGCACTGGTACTACAAGTGCCAGCTTCCAATCAGGGGGTATGCATCCGCTCGAGAAAGACAGGTTAAATAAAACACTAAGTGGGTATGCAAGGCTTTGGGCACAGTTTTTGAGGACTCTCCCATGAATCCCATCAGGGCCAGGGGCCTTGTTGGGATTTAACTTTTTAAGAATCAACAGAACATCTTCTCTACTAAACACAAGACTTGAAAAACAATCATCACGAAAATCTATGTCAATGCCATAATCGCTCTCTTGAGAAAACTGCTCATAAAAATATTCGTTAAAAAGGGCAGCTTGATCAGATGGATTGTTTCGAAAGCGATTATGATATTTGACAGTTTCAGGGATCCTGGTTGACTTTGATTTAGATTTAACGTAGGTCCAGAATTTCTTGGAGATAAGAGCATCATCGGAGTCATCCTCAACACTGAGTCTCATTCTTTCGTCCATCAAATTTTTAAATTTTGTGCGAAATGCACGAAACTTTTGTTTATGAGACTCAGAGTTGCTCCCATTATGCCTTATTCTCCATTTCTCCTTATTTCGTAGGAGACGATCACATTCGGAGTCATACCATGGGGGCTGGAACTGAGACTTAATGGTCTTTTTAGGGATCCATCGGTCACAGGCTGCACCGAGAACTCCTCTGAATCGACTCCAGGCAAGATAAGGATCATTACACTCAAATATACTATCCCAATCGATGCTAAATAACTCAGAATTCAGGCCCCTAAAATTACCTTTACTATAATTAAAGATCTTTCTTTTAGGTTGCTTAATATACTTGGTCTTAATATCAATGTCAAATGTGATACAAAAGTGGTCGGACATACACATTTCGTTTTGATCTAAAACTTTAACATTCTTAATAAGGTTTTGAATGTTAGTGAACACAAGATCTAAGGTGTTGCCTGACTTGTGAGTAGGGGAGCTAATAAGTTGTGTATGTCCGAGGTCATCAGTGAGAAAATTTACAAAGCTAGAATGTAGCTGGCAAGATGACTGACCATCTGGCCAGGAAATCGAAGCCAAATTAAAGTCACCTACCAGAATGTGCCTTTGCAATTTTCTGGCAGATGCTAAAGTAACAAAATGTTTCTTGAAAGATTCAAAATTATCTAAGCCAAGCGTTCCTACTCTATAAAATGTTGATATACAAAAGTTTCTTCCACACTGAGTCTTAATTATGATGGATAATAATTCAGCTTGAACACTAACTTTAGAGAACTTTAGACTCGAGATATCAATGTCTGTTCTATGGGCAATCAGAACACCACCACCGTTTTTTCTGAATTTCTTGGGCTGGGTTGCATCCACTGGATGCGATCTTAAGGATCGGTCAAGCCTAAATACTTTGTATTTGTCAGGGAGCACCTCATTACTGAGAATGGAATTTTTTCAGCCATGTCTCGTTTAGAATAATGATGTGAGGCTTATGTTTGTAGATATAACCATGGAATTCATGTATGGTGGTTACTGCTTGAACAAGAAGGACTTTAGAGATGGTATATGTTTGCGATATGGCTGGCCTATACAAGATATTGCTAAACACTGTGCGTGTAGAGAAAGAAACTCCGTCGATCATGCCCTTTCTTGTAAAAAAGGAGGGTATGTTTCCTTTAGACATACAGTGCTTGTAGAAACCGAAGCAGATCTACTACGTGAGGCTAAATGTAGAAACGTTTATACTGAGCCAGCTCTCTTACCAACGTCTCCAGAACTTCATCCCAAAGGAACTACTACTGACAGCGGAGCAAGGCTAGATATTGTTGCAACTGGATTATATGGCAGGAATGCCAGGACTTTCATGGATGTAAGAATAACACACCCAAATGCACCATCAAACCTTAATGTTCCCCTGGACAAGTTGTACAAGAGAAATGAGGAAGAAAAAAAAACTAAGTATAACTCACGAGTCATCAACACTGAAAGAGCGTCTTTCATTCCTCTAGTGTTTTCTACAGTAGGGACTACAGCACCAGAATGTGACAGATTTCACAAACGTCTTGCTAGATTGATATCAAAGAAGAGAAAGGAGAGCTACACAGATGTTATCAACTACATCAGGACCAAGATATGCTTTGCTATGCTTAAAAGCATAGTGGTATCAGTTCATGGTGTGAGGAGTCAAGAAGAAAAGAAAGTAACAAAAACGGTTGCTGACACAGCATTTGGACTTATACCTAGTATGACCTCTTATGAGTGCCGTTAAATTATTAACAGGAAAATTGTCTTAATTTTGGTTGATCAAATGTTTTATATCAGATGTTGATTTCTTAAAGATAGGTGTATATTTTTGCTATTATTTCTATGAAAGGGGAGGTACAGATAAAGTACCAAACCTTATTGTGTATATTTGGTTGCAACTCCGGTAAATGATGAAACAAGTCTCTTATGAGAGTGATACCGTGAGTTGCTTCCTTTTTTTTTTTTTTCCTTTTCGATCTGCAGCCAATCTTCTCATACAATCAATCGTGAGTCCATTACGATCCAATCTCTGCTCAGCATCTTCAATAAATACATCATTTAAGCTCTTCCTAGGCCTGCCTCTTGATCGTTTCCCATGCTTGGGTTTCCATTCAAGTAGATAGTTAGGTAACCGATCTTCAGGCATTATACTGACATGTCCAAACCAACGTAGCCGTTTTGTTGCTATTATGTCAGTAGGAGCAGTTATTGAAGCCCTTCTTAAAACATCTTCATTTCTTACTCGATGGAACCACCTCACTCTCAGGATTCTGCGTAAGCAGTACTGATGGAAAGACTCTAATCTTCTTGTCTGCACTTGAGTCGTGTTCCATATCTCACTTCCATAGGTCAGAATGGTAAGAACAGCTGCGATGTAGATTCGCACTTTGTTGTTAATGCTTATGTTCTTATTCTTCCAAATGTTAGGAAAGAAAAATTTTTTTAGGAAAGAAAAATTTATTGAGTTGGTTAAAAGCTCCGGTTGCTTTTCCAATCCTGACACTTATTTCTTTATCGATCTTGCCATCCGATGTAATTTTGGCACCCAAATAAGTGAATTGAGTGACCTGCTTTGCAGAGTTTCCATCGACAGTAATATCTATGGTCCTATTCTCTGGGAGTGGGTGCTGCGACGTATCTTTCCCAATTACCATGATCTCTGTTTTCTTTGCGTTCATCTTTAAACCCCCAAGCCCACAGTATTTCGCAATATTGTCCGTTGTTTCTTGCAGTCCCTCGACAGTGTCATCCATGCCTGCTATGTCATCAGCATAGTCCAAATCAATGACACATTTTTCCGGTTGTCTGGAACTTTGTCTGTACTGAAGAGTAAAACCACGCGATATATTTTTAAACTTCTCGGCAAGTTCTAATCCCCAGTTAAGTACAAGGTTGAAAATGGGAGGCCCTTGCACATCACCTTGTCCAGTCCCCGAATCGACATCAAACCATCTTGTCAATTCCCCATTGACACGAACTGCACTTTCAGTTGCTCTAAAGAACGCTTTGAAAACATTGATGTATTTTGTTGGAAGACCATAATGTTCAAAATGAACTTTATACTCTTTTCTAATAAGTGGCACTGGTAATTTTGATTGGGTTGTTAAAGGCAGAGCATATTAGGGCAACATTAACTCTCATTTTAAACTTATTCTCTTCTCTGCTTCTCCAATCATGGAAATCAAGGATGGATCTATTTTGATTTGATTCTTTAAATATTTAACCTCATCAAGGAGCTTGTTTTTTATGGTTTAAACGGCACTGCTTAGACGATTAAATATTTTTAAAAGATAGTAATATATTTTAGCATGCGGATAAAGGAGGTTGTAAGAACCAGCAATCTTTCATGGAGTCCTGGACAGGTTCATCCTTTGTATATTGCTGCTGGGACAAGCGCAAAGCAGCTTGATGCATCCTTCAGGTAACAAGCTTTGTTAAAAACTATCATTTCTTTATTCTCAATAACGTAAGATTATTTAGAACTAATAATGATATAATATGTCTCCATTTCAGTTCATCGTCAGTGTTAGAGATCCTTGAGGTTGAAACTGCTTCCAAAGGATGGGACATGCCAGTTAGAGGGACTCTGTCTGTTGCCTCCAGGTAATTTTATCAACTGTGACTTTGGTGAACTTTCTTTTGATGAAATCTACCGCGAGCTTGACTTTAACATGAAACACCCGGGGGGCCGTTCAACGTCATATTTTGGCTCGGTACCTTACAGTTATGGCAGAACCAACCACCGTGCAACCCATGATAAGCCCTTGCCACCTGTCCTACAGCGCATTTTTGATTGTTTGCATAAATCCGATCCTGACATTACTCCCACGAACTACACCTGCCTCTGTACTTACTATAAGGACGGGTCAGTTGGTATTCCATTGCATAGTGACAGCGAATCTAGCATTGTAGAAGATAGTCTGATTTACACTGCATCATTTGGCTCTACCAGAATTATGAGAATGTCAACGTCGACAGGCCCTTTCGTTGAGCATAACATCCCGCTCGAGCACGGCTCTGTCTTTGCAATGTCTCGATCTGATCAGAACCACTGGCAGCACGGCATTGAACGTGATCCTATGTTAAGGCAGCCACGAATCTCGTTCACTCTTCGCAAGTTGAAACAGCCTGATCCCACGGCCTTGCCAGCACCTGCAGCACCTACTCGGGTCCCGCCTGTTGCACCACCTACACAGATACAGTCACCAACGTCCCGTCACTCCAGAGTCCTCTTCATTCACGACTCAATACACCGAGAAACACCAGAATGGCTGTTCGACCAGATACCTGGCCACCGATGTCAAAAGCGCCTTAACTATCAACTAGTGAACTCACTGGAACATCAACATGAGTTCAAACATTCTAAAGCAGTCGTACTTTCCTGCGGCATTAATGACCTAGCTAGGTATGGGCAGTCGGCCAGGAGTCTTGCGGACAATTTCTGTCCCCGTTTTATAGACTCTTGTAACAATAACAAGAATACCGAGTTTATGTTTTGTGCTTTATCTATGACTAAATTTAACTGGTTGAATGCAGAGATTGACGCTTTTAATATCATAATGTTGAACCTGGCTAAGGATATTCCAAATCTGAGTTTTTTCGATGCCCATGCCGTGATCAAGCGTGTTAACTCATACTACGTATGGGACCGCAACGACAGACATGGCATCCACTTATATCACGAGGTGCAAAGGGTAATGGCACATGAACTTGTTAACTGCGTTGGCAAGTTATGTGGATCTGAACAGAGACGTCACAGGAACTGTGAGTGGCTCTATCACCACAAGCCTAACAGTCTCTCCAGATATAACCGAAGCTGAGCGCTTTACAAATCATTGATACCATTCTGATTAAAAAATACGATTCAATTTTTTCTCAACTTCCAGTCCACCTTTAACAGATCGTTACCAAGATAGATCATATAATGAAATGATCTGATTGGTGGAATTTTTCTCATTATCTGATAAGCTCATCCATTATCAGTATCTCTTATCACCCGATCGCACACAAAACATTTTACTCTACAAATCTGTATCATCCTTAAATCAATGAGATTTCATAACTCTATACAACATTCAAAATTCACATACAAATCTATAAATAATCAAGTGCGTTCTCTTCAGTATTACTTAAGTTCAGTGCGATAGTCCCTTATTACGTAAACGCTACAAACAAATCAAATACAAATAACACCTCACAAAACTACACAACACAAAAGCAACCACTTTATTCGATTTCTATTTTTTAGCCAAATCAGTTATTTAAATCATACTGATAAGGCCCTAGATAAAGACACTTTATTTCACTTAATTATCCGATGTTAATATAATTTACTTTTAAATCATATCACGATTCTGTAGCATACAGGACCTCCGGTTCTCGTGAAAGAATCTGATTTGAACTATAGTTTTATATACTATCAGTATCATAATCATAATATTTAGTTATAAATGGAACCCACTGTTACATCTGAAAACAAAGTCAAGATCAAATGTTCAAGCTGCAGCGGCTGGTGTTACTCTATTAGAAATATTCGCACATGCTCATGGTGTCAAAGTAATGTCCATGTCAAATGTTTTAAGGATAATTTAGGCTGTACGAGTTGCTGTGAAAGTATCATTCCTGGATTTCACGCAACCTACTATGAAATCTATGACGACTACAGTAAACTTAATAGTGACATATTTAATCCGTACGATCAGAATAGTCGATTTAATCTTATTGGCGACGCCATGACCAACGAAGAGCATCAAGATTCAACTTGGAGCAATATTTCATCTTTCCTAACTAGTTGTCAGTATAAACAACAACGTAACGTGAAAAAATCTACCTGCTCTCAACTTAAAACATTTTCTATGAACATAAGATCCCTTATTAAGAATATAGATCAACTACGTGATGATATTGAGACTTATGATAAGTATGATATATTGTGTTTTAACGAAACTAATTGCACTTTAGGGAAATTACCGAACGGAATAAACGACGTTACCTTAGATGGATTTCATGAACCATTTATCCAGGATCCAATTCGCCCATCTGGAAAAGGTGGGGGGCTAGCCACTTATGTACACAAACGTGTAGTCGATTATGATAAAATTGATATTTTCACTCCAAACCCTGAACCAACTAATACTAGTGGCGAATTCCAATTTATCAAGCTCCATCAGTGCAAAGGATACAACAGAACGAAAATAATTGGCAATGTTTACCGTTCTCCCGCTAGGAGACCTGAAGCGTTTCTAGAAATTTTCAAAAATACGCTGCACAACCTAGGGAGACACACCCGTAAACATATGACGCTTCATGGAGATTTCAACCTTGATTTACTGAAGCACAGCAGCGACCAAGCATGTCAGAACATTATAGATATTGCGTCCTCTTACGGTTTTATTCAAATTGTATCACGCCCAACTCGCCTAACGGACCATAGTGCCACGCTTATTGACCACATCTACACAAACAATCTTGAGGATACAATAAGCTGTAACGTCTTAACGACAGATATGTCTGATCACTTAGCAATAGTCACTACAATAAATCTTGATAACACGCCAACCAGCAGCTACCGCTCTGCGTCTAACTCACAAAATGTATCTCAAACTGAAACACGTAGATTTAACGACACCAACAATCAAAAATTCAGAGACTTAATTACAGATGAAAGTTGGTCAGAAATTTTTAACAATACCAATGATGCCAACGAACAGTTCAATAATTTAAATACGGCTTATAATAAGATTTACGAGTCTGCCTATCCCACAAAAAGACAATCACGAAGACAAAATGAACGTGTTAATCCGAAACCATGGATGCTGCCCTGGCTCGAAGAAGCTATAGAACGTAAAAATGAGTCATATTATGATTTTGTTAAGGAACCATCTGATAGTAACCGCAGTAAATATGACCGTCTGAAGAAGTTTTGTAATAAACACATCGATAAAGCTAAAAACAAGCACTTCAAAAAATTTTTTGAGCAAAACAAAGAAAATTCTAAGAAGCAGTGGCAAATGATAAACAGTCTTCTTAATAGGAAAAAATCTAAACCTACTTCAATTAAACTGACTGACGAAGACGGCTCAATCAGCACTCCGGCAGCTGTAGCAGAAAAATTTAACGATTACTTCTCAAACATCGCTCCTAAAATCAAGTCTGAAATTAGTAGTAGGACCACTTTTGATCCTGGTGGAACCCATAGCACACTTCGCAACGCCACTCCAAGTAGTATTTACTTAAAGCCAGTCACTGCCACAGAAATTCAGGACGTCATAAACCTGCTTAAGAATAAAGCCACACTAGACACTAAAATTGAACCTCTAAAAATCGCTAACAGCTGTCCCAGTTTTACTAGTGTACTAGCCCACGTTGTCAACAGTTCTTTTGAACAGGGGATCTTTCCACAGGCTTTGAAAGAAGCGAAGGTGGTCCCAATTCACAAAGGTGGATCTAAATCTGACATAAAAAATTACAGGCCAATATCTCTTCTTGCTTCTTTCTCTAAAGTATTTGAAAAGCTAATGCATAACCGAGTTATAAGTTTTTTAGATAAATACAGCATACTATGTGAAAACCAATACGGTTTTCGCCCGGGTAGGTCTTGTGAACATGCTCTTCTCAACGCAAAAGACACCATTCTTAATTCAATGTCTAAAAAGCAGGTAACTTTACTTCTTTTAATCGACTTCAGCAAAGCTTTCGACCTTGTGGATCATTCCATACTCTTGCGCAAGCTGGACCATTACGGCATAAGGGGTCAAGCCTTAAACTGGTTTAAGTCATATCTCACTAACAGGAAACAGTTTGTATCAATTGGCTCGTCAAAATCTTCAACCAACCAAATTTTATACGGCGTGCCTCAAGGGTCAATATTAGGACCTTTACTTTTTATAATCTACATAAACGACCTACCTCAAATATCAGATATAGCAAATTTCATTATGTACGCAGATGATGCCAACATCTTCCTGATAGGAGAAAATCTTAATGAAGTTTACGATAAACTAATAACTCTTAGCGATGCTTTAGTTAAATGGGTAGATAATAATGGTTTAGCTCTCAACCTTAAGAAAACAAATTATATGATCTTCTCTCGACAAAGAAATCTTAATTATCGTGATGTGGCAATTTCTGGTGTCACAATTGAGAGAAAAACAGAAGCCCGTTTTTTAGGAGTTATAATAGATGATAAACTAAACTGGTCCCATCATATTTCTGCCATGAAAATGAAAATGTCCAGATACATAGGAGTCATGTACAAACTTAAAAAATATCTGCCTCTCGAAGCACGTCTTCAAATTTATCAAAGTTTTGTGCAGTCACACCTTAATTATTGCAGCCTTGTATGGGGTTTTGCTGCCAAGTCTCATATTGAATCGCTTTTTGTAAAACAGAAAATGGGCCTTCGAGCAGTATTACCTGGTTTCGTCAATTACTGGTACAAGGACGGTATCCCCCCAGCAAGTACCAAGTCTGGCTTTTATTCACATAAAATATTGACAGTACACAGTATCATTGTAAAGAACGCACTCATTTTAATGCATAAATTGAAAAACTTTCCTAATCTAGTACCATTGTCTCTCAAGAAAACAATTCCCAAAAGTGCACCATTATTTAATACTAACCTGGATTCTATTCTCACTACACAATGGTCAGAAAAGTATGGTCAACACCCTTACAACAACTCAGTATTTTTTAAAGGTCCATTATTAGCAATAAACCGATATAATGTTGCAGCAACTTCCCCGCCTAGTCTACTTAACCTTAACATTTACAAAACTTGTATAAAAACTATGCTCATCGATCAGCAAAATGAAAACATCGAAGACGATTGGCCTAATTTCATGTTATATTGTATAACAGGACTAAGAAAATCAAAGCGTAACATAAACCAAAATGCCGATAATAACCTTGTCTCTACATCTTAGATTATATGCACACACTTATGCATCACTCAATAAACGTCGCATATCTCATCAATTACACTGCCAACATAGGACATTCTTTTTTATCGCCGCGATTTCAAATCAAGTTACAAATTCTACAAATTTTGAAGTGCTCAGTCTTGTTTTACTTTTCTTATCTTTACCTATTAACCATTGGAAAATAAAACTTTAAATTATAAACCTTCATTGCATACTTTACCGGTAGAATCTAAATTGAATAGTTTGAGATTTCCTTTACATTTTATATTTATGCATGTGCCCCACGGGGATGAATTTCTTATTACCATTGATATTATATATATTTTTTGAGTAAACATTGGCTGGTACCACGGGCCAGTCCCCAACAAAAAAACACCATATTGACTCACACACTAAATTTCATGAGAATTCAATATAAAGTTTCTTCAGAATTTATCTTTTAATTTTATATTTATACTTCTTTCATTTTTATGTTTCCTTGTTTATGATCATGGATTCAATATTAGATTTTCACTGTTCATCTTTTCAGGTTTAATGTTATTGAGTGGGGAAGTGTCGAGAGGGAGATGGGTTTGATAGCTGGTGGTGGCGACAATGGAGTTATTTCTCTCTGGGACCCCGTTAAAATTCTAAGGTACTGTACACGATGTTCAGTCATTTTGCATCATGGGGAAATTTCTAAATCGTTCATTTCAATCTGAGCTCGTTAACACTAATACTTTAGAAATAATTTTATTTTATTCCACAGTGGAGAAGAAGATGCCTTGGAATGTGAGCTCCCAAAACATTGTGGTCCTGTACGCTCAATGGATTTCAATCCTGCCAAGAAATGTTTGTTGGCATCTGGAGCTAGTGCTAGTGAGATTCATATTGTTGACATCAACAAACCTGATGTTCTCATGACACCTGGCCCAAAAGCACAGGTAAGCTCATCTTTGCTATGATACCTAACATTTGTGACAATAGTATTTTATACTGGGGCTCTTTGTCGACAATTTAAGAAGCAACTATTAATGTATCATCTGATGCAGCTATAAATTTCTGTTTTAAGAGTATCATCGAATCTTATGTTTTCCGGACATGTATTCATATATATATTCCCAACGTTACTCAGCCAGAAGATGATGTGGTAGCTCTAGCATGGAACCAGCAAGTGGAGCACATCCTAGCATCTGCACACCCCAACTCAGCGCGCTCCATTGTATGGGACCTCAGGAAGAACGAGCCTATAATCCAAGTAACTGATGCCTCAAACCGTGTGAGATGCAGCTGCATTGCCTGGCACCCTGACGTAGCCACACAACTCCTAACTTGTTCAGACGAGGACAGATATCCTGTTATTCAGATGTGGGATCTCAGATTCGCTTCTGCTCCTACTATGGTTAGTTTGTCATCCGGCTCCTTTGTACAAAGTGATAATTAACGAAAAATAGGAAATATTGCCAAATCAAATATCTGAATTTTTAGCATTTTTAAAATTTTTACCATCAGGTATTTGAAGGACATGGTCGAGGTATCCAGACATTGGCTTGGTGTGGATGTGACAGCAGTATGTTACTTTCCAGCAGTAGAGATGATCACATGATCTGTTGGAATCCTAACAATACTAGTGTTCCTGGAGGAGAGGTGAGTTTTTGTCGGAATACAAAACGATTTAAGTACATAAGGGGTCGTTCACATATTACGTAATCAATATTTTAGAAATTTTTACCCCCTTCCCCCCTTCCGTAATCAACCGTAATCAAGACCCAACCCCCCCCCCCCCCCCCCCCCCCCCCTTGACTTTTTTCCTAGAAAACACTTTTCTCTACGTTTCATGCTACCCTGATCATGCTATCATGATGAGCCGAAATCATTGTTATAATATCCGGCCAAGCACCTTCTAAATTACTTATTATTATAGCAGGATATTCGATAAATTTCTAAATTTTATCACTATCAGAGTGAAATTGAGTGGAATTTGAATTAAAATATTGTCAAATTGTTATTATTCTAGAGAGTAAAAAAGAAAATTTTGATTACGTAATCAACGACCGAAACCCCCCCCCCCCCCCCACCCGTAATCAACCGTAAGCATTTGGAAACCCCCCTCCCCCCTCGGCTGATTACGTAATATGTGAACGACCCCTAATTGATAATTATTAATTATGTATGTAAAGGATATAATTATGTAAAGATCTGAATACTGGTTGCAGGAGGTGAGTCATAATTGTCTCAACCTGGATAAAGTTGTTTAATAAGTAACTATTCATCAACTTATTAAAATGAAAGTTATAATATTATTGACCAACTATTCTTTTCAGAAACTGGTAGAGTTCAATGCTCCAAGTCAGTGGACGTTTGATATGGGCTGGTGTGAAAGAAACCCTTATCTTGTTGCTTCCTCTGCGTTCTCTGGTAAACTTTCCGTGTTTTCTCTCTTTGGAGGACAAGAGGACATTCCTGAACAACCACAACGTGTAAGTGTGTTGCTTAATAAAGTGTTCTTCTGTCTGCTAGTTAGGTGTAAAGCACACCGAGATATTACTTTGTCCATTTTTATTTATTATTTCAGAACGTTGTAAATAACTTATTAATTAACAACTAATTATCCACATGCCAGGTGCGAGTTAGCAGTGACCCATTTGCCCCTGGTCCACCCCCACCGTCTCTGCCAATGCACATTCCACTCCTTTCTCAGGCGCCCAAGTGGCTGATGAAACCTTGTGGTGGCTCGTTCGGTTTCGGTGGAAAACTCATCTCTTTTGACTCCAACTCTAATGAGGTAACTTACCACAAAAATTCCATATTTGCAATAGTTCGTGTGTCTTCTGAACTAACAACTCAAATATTTAGTTTATTTCATAATAGAAATTTCAGATAACAGTGATGCAAGTTACAACGGAATCAGAGTTGCTAGAAAGATCCGAGAAGTTAGAACAAGCTCTGCAGGAGAATACACTGCTTCAGTTCTGTAGTGAGAAAGCTGACGCTACTAACGATACAAATGATAAACAGATATGGAGCTTTTTGAAGGTATGAGTTGTTGACTGTATAATGTATATTATTATAATCAGCTACTAGTGCTGGTTATACAACAGGCGCAAGGTTCCTGTACTATATTTCTGCAACACTATATTTAACAGGCGCAAGGTTCCTGCACTATATTTCTGCAACACTATATTTAACAGGCGCAAGGTTCCTGCACTATATTTCTGCAACACTATATTTAACAGGCGCAAGGTTCCTGCACTATATTTCTGCAACACTATATATAACAGACGCAAGGTTCCTGCACTATATTTCTGCAACACTATATACAACAGGCGCAAGGTTCCTGCACTATATTTCTGCAACACTATATATAACAGGCGCAAGGTTCCTGCACTATATTTCTGCAACACTATATATAATTGCGACACGCATATATCACAATGTTATATCTTTGTCTTAATATATCTCTGTCACAATATAGTGCGGTAAGCTAATTAGTAATTACTTTAACATTTTATTTTCTCATCAGTCTACATTTGACGGTAAGCCGAGACAGCGATATCTAGAACTTCTTGGTTACAAAGCTGGAGACTTGAAGGAAATGGTAGAAAACTTAGCTGAGAGCGCTCCCACCTTATCAGAAAGTGTTGGTGAACTAACACTTGACAGTGACACCGCTATCATCAACAAGAGCGATGCTGAATCTAGTTCCAGTTCCGAGAAGGTATGATTTTACGTGTGTCTGTTTGTCAGTCAGCTCGTGACACTGACAGAAACGTGCTAGCTTTTCATGTGGTAAAGCACTTAACACGTGCTCAACACGTGCTCAACACGTGCTTAACACGTGCTTAACACGTGTTTAACACGTGCTTAACATGTGTCCGCTCTTGACTCCCTTACTTGGCGGTCTCATGTATTCAGTACTATCTAGATGTTGTGGCCCCTAATCCTTGCCCATTAGTTGAGTCAAGAGCAAGCATGTCTGTTAGCAAGCATCTATCTTTAATGTTTCTCATTCCATCCTGTAAAAATGGTTATTATCTATCCATTGATGTGGCTAGATTACCATTTTATTTGGTATTCTTTTCTCTTGGGGCCATGATTTATATCTAATTTTGGGTCTGACATGTTGAAATGGAAATTATATTTTGGGTAAACCTTTTGTAGGATTCAGACAAAGAAGAAGTATCTTCTGAAACTGAAGATGATGTTGTTAAGGTAACGCAAATGGATCTGTTTAATATTCTGTACAGGCATCATGATCTTGGGGCTTTACTTTGTATTTTCTTTTAAATAATATTGTAATCCAGCTGTAGTGACTTGCTATCATGGAATACAAGTTTCCTGCTTGGTCTTATTTCTTATTTTCGTTGCATGGAGTTATAAGCCTGAAACTAATTGTACTTTCAGCTGGTGTTCAATGTGTGTGTGCTGTTTACTAATTTTCATAGCTTAAAATCTGTAACGCTGTAATGCTGACTGCTGTAGAGTATTACAGTAACTGGATAGTAACAATAACCATTGTAACCATAGTAGAGCCGGGTTATATACTACACAGTGCAATATATTCAAACGCTGAATACAACTGAAAGTTCATGCAGTTTACGTTTAAGGTTTTGTGTGTGATACTGAGTAATATATAATCTACAGTCAGTAATATACCTGTTTTCGTAATCATAATCATTGTTATCTAATTTTATTTTATTCACTATATAATAATTTAATAGCAAGTAGTTCGAGGTATCGTCAGAGCTTAGTGATTATTTAATTTGGTTGACTAATGTTTCTGTTTCAGGTGACGGCGCCGAAACCGTTAGTAATAGACACCAGCATTGGAGTTGACGGTCTCATCTGCCGTGCAATGCTTCTAGGTAATCTTATTTCTTATCTATTGCTTGTTTTGTTATGTGTGTGTTTGTTGGTGTTTCAGTTTGATTGACCTGGTATATTTATAATTGGTTGTGTGATCCATGGCACTGCACGCGAATAACAATTCAATTTGCTAAGCAACATAAAACTATTTTATTCTTTTATTGATAAAATGAGACCTCTTAAACCCAACTAAGAATCATCGAGAGTTTTAATTTACATCTCAATTTCAAGATCCAGCGTGTAGCCTGGTTGAGGGAAGGACTCAGCCTCCATTGACACGTAGATAGCATAGTTACCGTACACTGGTCCGTTCTTGTACTTGTGCCCGTGGTCCTTACCCTGAACTTTAACATCATCTTCTCTGCAGCCATTCTTCCAGCTGCAATCCTGGATGACAGAGGCGTCAGCTGTCCTGCTAGTACTGAATCTGTTGTTGGTTATTGGGTTGCAGTAGTAGTTGTTTCCAAGTCCGTGAGTGTTATCGTCATTTTCATTAGCTCCAGAGAGGTGTCCTCCAGTGAGGACTATTCTGCAGCCGTTATCACCAAACGCCCAGTTGAAAGCCAAGTCTCCGTCCACAGAGAAGATTGGGTCATCTTCCAAGTTTGTGGCGTTTACTGAGATAGATTCCTGGATAGGTCCTCCTTTTGTTACTATCTGTCTGCCAGGGTTCTGGTTCTTGGTTCCGAACCTGTATTAAAATATTGAGTAACATTGTTGTACAAAAGTGGTTGTGTCAGTCTGATATTATTCATATAGAATGCAATAATAACAAGAACAATATTTCATCTTGAAGCAGAGTTTACCTGGTATAAAGAGAAGCGCCCCAGTATCTGAACTTGAAGACCTTGACAGCGTCCAGGACGCCCTGTTGATGTCTGACAATAGCGATGTATTTAGCTGGTTCATCCCAAACTCCTCCACTCAGATAGTCCTTAGTCAGGGCTTCTTCCTCACTTCCAATGTTGTCTCCTGTTGCCCACCCTGAGAAGTTATGAATGTTGAATGTCACTGTGTTGTGATTAGTTTATAATTTAGATTCATTTTCAAGGAAATATGTCAGAATATTGTCATAACTCTCTAATTTACTTACCAACAGTGTATCCAAATATGTGTCCATCAGATGGATTTATGTTCATTCCCAGACGCCATGTTCCACCATTTTCATTGTCCTTGTCTGCTTCAAGTTCTCCAATTCGTTTCTCCAATTTGACTTGGGTTTCTTCGAGTGCTTCTAGTTTGTTCTCCAACTCCACAAGTTCTCCCTCATAATGTTCTTGAACCTTTTCGAACTTGTCCTCCATATCTTCTTGAAGTTCCTCCACTACGCCATCAAGATTAGTCAGGTTTTTGTTGATTGCCTGTAGATTGTTATCGAGTGCCTCATATTTCTTCTCCAAGTTCTCTTCAACAAGACCTACTTTCATGTGTAGCTGTGTGATAGTCGTGTTCAGTTCCTTTTTTATATCGTCAACTTTTTCCTCCAGTTTCAAATGATTTTCTGCATTTGATGCAATCTCGTCTGTCACTGCGTCATACTTTTGCTCCAACTGTTCCGAAACTGTAGTTATGCTGCCGTTCAGTTTCTTTTCTACATTCTCTAAATTCGTCTGCACTTGTTTCACATCTACTTCCAGTTGACTAGAAGTACTGTTCAGAACATTCACATCATTTCTTAGATCCTCCAAAATGCAGCCCAAGCAACTGCTCGCTAGAAATACCAGGGCAATTCCACCGTGACGGACACCACGATTATGCCATTTTTTAAAGTTCAAACGAATGTTGTGCTCAGGATGTTGCTTCTTTATCAGCTTAAACTATTTATTAGTCCACAGTTAACCTTTCTATAGGTTGTGTGAAAATTTCAGACCCCTACCATTATTACTTTCTGAGATAGCACCCCTGTGACGGACGCGACTTAAATATGACACTTTTTTTGGGTGTCTACTCAGAAGGTACCCAAATCTATCTCAAAACGTTATCTATTATCTCTAATTTGGACATGCAGTGATAGAAAAAGGTTTAGGGATTTCTGAGATACCATTTTTTTGGAGATTGCTCAGTTTTTGTTTGCGTGGCGCCATTTTCAAATTGTGACGGACGTGACTGTGACGGACACACGTTTTTTTTTCAATTTCTCCAAATCTTCTATTTGACACTATTATCTTGTTCAGTGACCTTCATTCTATATTTATGCCAATTTTTAGGCCGCTAGTACTTCCACGAGGTCTGCAAAAGCCAAAATCGTCCATTTTGGGCATACGCGAGGGTATCAATCTAGGGGCAGCAATTATTTCTCTACTTGAACAAATTTATAACTCTGGTAAAACATTCATCTCTGTTCAACACATCACACTGTTGAGACCATCTCCCAAAAGTTTCATTACTTTAGTGTTTAAAATGTGGAAGATATTGAATTTTTACTTCAAAAATATGCGAAAATAGGGTTAAGTCCATTTTTTGTGCCTTTTACCCCTGAAAAAGGTTAAGGCAAATAAAATGGCAAAACTCAGTAAATTTAATTATTGAATTGCATATGATGTTATTTGATAGTCTAGTCAACATAGTCAAACCTTATTTGACTTCAATTTGTCTTGGTTTTAGTCAAAATAATGGAAATATGGATAAAAATGGCTAAAAGTGAGCCGTACGCCCATATATGGGCATATACAAAATTATACATAACTCAGTCATTTTCTGTCCAATTTTCGATTTGACAACATCGTTTTGTTAAGAACGGTCTCAGCTTTAACAAAAATGCATTTAAAGTCTGTTAAAAGATTTTTTGGAGCATTTTCAAAAAAATGTGACGGACGCGACAAGTTGGGACCCCCCTTCCAAAAATTTTTTCTTAAAAGATAGAAGCCTGATAATTTCTACGGTACTCCCTTACCTTCAGAAGGGATAGGTTACAGTGGTTTTTTGAATATAAATAGCACTATGTGGCTCTGAAAAAACTTTTTTGCTTAATTTTGTGACGGACGCGACACCATCTTTGTGGAAATTTTTTAGAAAAATTATTTGAGTAACGGTTTTGAAACTTTGCATGGCTCTCATTCTTATGCCTATGCTTAAGTGTATGGAATTTCATAGAGAAATATTCCTGCATACCCAAACTATGGCCCTTTGAAAATTTGAATGATTTTTTTCATTTCCGAGTAATGTTCCTTTGAATGAGAAAAATCAAAAGTTAATGCAATATGAAACAAAAAACTTTTGTTGACCTGTAAGGTTAAGAGTCTAATGAACATATTTTAACCAAAATTAGGTGCCTATCTTAACATTTTTCATTTTCACCAAGTGGAACCTTACCGTGGAATTGCCCACCAGACATACAGCAACTCTCATTCTGTACTAATAACTGAAATAGTGGATTAGTTTTTTTCTTTCTAATAACAGCCAAGAAGATGGTCGTGCCTAAACAGCTTAATCTGAAACATTTTAGCATCTTAACATGCTATTATGATTGACAACAAATCTATTAAATCAGTTAATAAGTACTTTAGCTGAGTTCAAATATGATGAAAATATTTTTAACAAGATTCTAGTCTTGACATCTTTTCTTCTTCTTCTTCTGGGGTCACGAGTTTCCGGCCTCCAACATCAATCGTATCACTTAGTGTTTTATTAAAGGCAATTCCTTTACATCTCAATTTCAAGATCCAGCTTGTAGCCTGGTTGAGGGAAGGACTCAGCCTCCATTGACACGTAGATAGCATAGTTACCGTACACTGGTCCGTCTGAGAACTGGATCCCGTGATCTGTACCCTGGATCTTTACATTCTTGTCTGTGCAGCCCTTCTTCCAGCTGCAATCTTGGATGTTGGACACATCGTGATTTCTATATTTGCTGAACGGGATATTTGTTCTTGGGTTGCAATGGAAGTCATTACCCAGTCCGTGGGTGTTATCGTCATTTTCATTAGCTCCAGAGAGGTGTCCTCCAGTGAGGACTATTCTGCAGCCGTTATCACCAAACGCCCAGTTGAAGGCCAAGTCTCCGTCCACAGAGAAGATTGGATCATCTTCCAAGTTTGTGGCGTTTACTGAGATAGATTCCTGGATAGGTCCTCCTTTTGTTACTATCTGTCTGCCAGGGTTCTGGTTCTTGGTACTGAATCTGTATTAAAATATTGAGTAAATAAGGAAAGTAAGATTGTTGTACAAAAGTGGTTGTGTCAGTCTGATATTATTCATATAGAATGCAATAATAACAAGAACAATATTTCATCTTGAAGCCATATTTGTAACCTGCGGAATTGAATTGTTTATTTGAATTTATCTGAAACTTATTTAACTTTTGACCTTCCGTTATTATAAAGTTTACCTGGTATAAAGAGAAGCTCCCCAGTATCTGAACTTGAAGACCTTGACAGCGTCCAGGACGCCTTGTTGATGTCTGACAATAGCGATGTATTTAGCTGGTTCATCCCAAACTCCTCCACTCAGATAGTCCTTAGTCAGGGCTTCTTCCTCACTTCCAATGTTGTCTCCTGTTGCCCACCCTGAGAAGTTATGAATGTTTAATGTCACTGTGTTGTGACTTGTGACACAGTTAATTGCTTCTTATGGAAATATTGAATATTGTTAAATTCTTCTTCTCAACTAAAATAATTTGCCTCTAAACTTACCAACAGTATATCCGAATATGTGTCCATCTGATGGATTAATGTTCATGCCTAAGTGCCATGTGCCACTATTTTCATTATCATTATGTGCTTCAAGTTCTTCTGTTATTTGCTCCAGCTTGACTAGAGTTTCTTCGATTGCCTCTATTTGTACTTCCAGTTCATCAAGTTCTTCCTCAAAATGTTCTTGAACTTTTCGAACTTGTCCTCCATGTCTTCGTGAAGTTCCTCCGCTTTGCCATCAAGATTAGTCAGGTTTTTGTTGATTGCCTGTAGATTGTTCTCGAGTGCTTCATATTTCTTCTCCAAGTTCTCTTCAACAAGACCTACTTTCATGTGTAGCTGTGTGATAGTGGTGTTCAGTTCCTTTTTTATATCGTCAACTTTTTCCTCCAGTTTCAAATGATTTTCTGCATTTGATGCAATCTCGTCTGTCGCTGCATCATACTTTTGCTCCAATTGTTCCGAAACTGAAGTTATGCTGCCGTTCAGTTTCTTTTCTACATTTTCTAAATTCATCTGCACTTGTTTCAAATCTATTTCCAGTTGACTAGAAGTACTGTTCAGAACATTCACATCATTTCTTAGATCCTCCAAAATGCAGCCCAAGCAACTGCTCGCTAGAAATACCAGACATACAGCAACTCTCATCCTGTACTAATAACTGAAATAGTGGATTAGTTTTTTTAATAGCAGCCAAGAAGATTGTAAGCATCCTAACATAATAATATAATCGACTACAAATCTAATCTGAAGTGAAATCTCTAAGTAGTTAATTGTCGAAGGTGTCTGTCTTGACACTGTGTTTGACTAGTGGACCCTAATTCATTGCACTAAATTCTGGCTTCCCAAACTGTCAATGACCCAGATCTTACAATATATTTAATGTCCTAGTAGGTGCATAGTAAGGGCTCGGCTGCAGCTGGAGTCAAAAGCAGAGTCAAAATCAAAGCATAAGCGTTCATGGACTTCTGCTGGTTACTAAATTCAAACTAATATCAATGTGCTGGTTTAACTCTGAACTACATATTTGCAGATGTGAGCAAAACTCTAATGTGAACATACGTATACCTCTAATGTTAGCTTATCCTATTGCTAATATTGTTATACACTATTTCTGACTAGGAGTAGGAATAATATCCTTAATTTTTACAATGGCTAAAATTTGTTCACAAAAAATGTGTTATAAAATTTCGCGAATAATCAACAAGATTCTAGTCTTGAAATCTTTTCCTCTTCTTCTTCTGGGGTCACGAGTTTCCGACCTCCAACATCAATCTTATCACTTAGTGTTTTATAAGACAATTCCTTTACATCTCAATTTCAAGATCCAGCTTGTAGCCTGGTTGAGGGAAGGACTCAGCCTCCATTGACACGTAGATAGCATAGTTACCGTACACTGGTCCGTTCCTGTACTTGTGTCCGTGATCCTTACCCTGAACTTTAACATTCCAACAGCCCCTCTTCCAGCTGCAATCCTGGATGTTGGACACATCATTATTCCAACTGTTGCCGAAGCCTATCTTAATGTTGCTTGTTGGGTTGCAAAAGTAGTCATTACCCAGTCCGTGGGTGTTATCGTCATTGTCATCAGCTCCAGAGAGGTGTCCTCCAGTGAGGACTATTCTGCAGCCGTTATCACCAAACGCCCAGTTGAAGGCCAAGTCTCCGTCCACAGAGAAGATTGGGTCATCTTCCAAGTTTGTGGCGTTTACTGAGATAGATTCCTGGATAGGTCCTCCTTTTGTTACTATCTGTCTGCCAGGGTTCTGGTTCTTGGTTCCGAACCTGTATTTAAGCATAATGTTTGACAAATATCAGATTAAAAAATATTAACGTAGTTGCTCGCAAATTTACATTTTATCAGGGTTTATCTGAATTTTAGGTTCTAAAACAAAGTTTACCTGGTATAAAGAGAAGCGCCCCAGTGTTTGAACTTGAAGACCTTGACAGCGTCCAGGACGCCCTGTTGATGTCTGACAATAGCGATGTATTTAGCTGGTTCATCCCAAACTCCTCCACTCAGATAGTCCTTAGTCAGGGCTTCTTCCTCACTTCCAATGTTGTCTCCTGTTGCCCACCCTGAGAAGTTATGAATGTTGAATATCACTGTGTTGGTACTAGTCTGTATCGATTGAGTATCGTTCTAATTTCGGAAGTAAATTAAGTTTCTGTTCTCTACTTACCCTCAGTGTACCCGAATATGTGTCCATCTGATGGATTGATGTTCATCCCCAGGTGCCATGTGCCACGAACTTCTTTTTCCTTATTTGCTTGAATTAGTTTATCCACATCATCTCTGAGATCGTCCAATATACACCCCAAACAACCGCTACTCAGTAAAATCAAGCAAACGGAAAGTTTCATCCTGTCCTGATTTCTTCAATTGTTTCAGTCATAATTCAGAATAAGATCAAAGTTTTCAAATATTTAAACAGAATATTGTCGAAATTGAAGTCTGCAAAATAATCCCATTATTTTGGACGCGAAAAGGAATCAACAACGGAACTAGTTAGGGTCTAGTTAGACTAATTAGGGTCTAGTTGTGGTTCTGACCAGTTCCTGGAGTGACAGGTGTTTATAAGGGTGGCTGAGGAGTGCGGTAACAGCTTTCTGTAAAGGAACCTGTCCTTGAAGTGGCCCGTCAAAGAGGTGGTTATACTTAGACCGCCGTTTAGTTTCTTTTGTTCCCCCAGTTCACAGCTTCTGTGAACGGTATGGCCGATTGTTTGCAGTCTGGTACGAGGTCGTCTCTTTCACGCCAACTCGTTTCTCACTGACATGTCAGTGAATTGACTGCATCTGTTCTTAATAACTTTGCTAATTTAAATTAACGTCCCCTTGGAATAACACACAGTCTCGTACAAACGACACCATGTGTTGTTAGCCACTGTGAAACTCTACTACCGGACAGGGACTGTCCGGTAGTAGAGTTTCACAGTGGAGAGGAAATTAGAGCAAGCATTGTGATGGAGAATTTTAAAAACACGTACAATATTTCACGTACAGTAATTCTACTGATGATATTCGAACACGAAACACGTACGTCGTATCGAATTATCGAATTATTCTCCTAATATATATATATAACAGTAAGTTAGTAAGAAAGTAACATTAACTAGATAATATCTCATAACATTAACTAGATAATATCTCGTAGCATTAACTAGATAATATCTCCTAACAGGTCAGTTTGAAGTGGTGGTAGATCTGTGCCTGAAAGCTGGTAGGATGGCTGATGCTCTGGCTGTGGCTATGGCTGGGGGGAGAGAGTTGTTCCAGAAAACTCAACAGGAATACTTCAGACAAGCAACTTCGCCTTCCGCAGCTGTGAGTCAGAATTTTACTTTCTCTTTCTTTCATCTTGTTTTAAAACAAGACCTATATATATTTAACCGGACAAAAAGCGGCCCAATTTTTATGTTTTATTTTGATAAAGAACTGGAAACAAATTGATAATGTACGGAATAGATTTGGGAAAATTTTTAATGTCATTCAACATCAAATTTGGTATTTTCAACATCAGTTTTCTTCTTCAGAACGTAGTAAGAATATTCCTCGAGTCTGTTTAATTTCATCGCAAAATTTTAAAAGTAAACAGCTCAGACTTTCTTCCCGGCCGGTGCTCCTACCTAGCCAATATCCATTCGGTTTCACGGTACCTGCTTATCTTAGCAGTTAGCACAGTCGATAAGAGAGTCAGAAAACGAATACATTTATAGTATATTACGCACAATCAAAGTAATTTAAGAATATGCAATCAAAATAATATTAAAATAATGATACCCATCAATTCATAACATACAAGTTATTCAACCAAGAGTCTCATAATATTCTGGTGCCGAGCTGCAAACATTCCTCCAGATACCAACAGAATATCTGACAACCCTGCTGAATCTATCTCTGTATTTGTGTCTGAGTGAAGGTTTCCTTAGTATGATGATGAGAGGGTACACTGCTGCGTTTATCAGAGGGAATGTGTACTGAGATAGGAGAGCCGGGACTGTGGATTGGTAGGGGTCCAGATTATCATCTGAGGAATTTAGAAAATGTGAGATCACATTGTTCAACAACAGAAAATTAAATTAGATTTAGTTTGCAACGAATTCGGGTAAAGAATTTCAAAAAAGTTGACTGAATATTGTCAATGATAGCAATTAAGCTCACACTACCTTGGCCAGCAGCGCGAGCCAGTAAGAAAGCGATGTCCGGCGAATGAAAGAAAGTGCAGATGACAAACAACATGGACACTAAAAACACAGTCACGTTCACGTGATTGGACTCTGCTGACAGCTCAGCTCGTCCGTTTGAAAGAGATTTCTTGATATAGTGCATTTGAATCACCATACAAACCAACACAGCTACACAGGGCAACATAAACGCCACTATCTCAACTATTGATCGCAATATTACGGGATTATCATGGTGAATAGATCTAATAAAGAATATTCTAGCAAATCCGTATGCTATAAATGTCGAAGTACCTTCCATCAACTTGAACCATTGGGCTGGACAATGTCCCCTATCATCAATAAAGGCAGGTGAATTAGATAGAGCATCAGCGAACCCCACGACAGCGGTCACAGCCCAAATACAGGCTCCAAACATCATGGCAGAGTTCACTGCAGTACGGTTGATTCTAAAAAACGGGTTTTTAATGTTGATAGTCTTTGTAACTGATAGTACAACGTTGAAAAAGACGGAGCAAACGTAGCTAGTACCTGCGAGGGGAAAATGAAAGATATTGGACCATTTTGGCACAAAAGCTTGGCTGTTGAAAAGGCAGATAAGAGCTGGGATTGCCTCGAATATGGAGCCGAATGCTTGGACCATGTCAAATGCTGCTATCAGCATGAAAATAGAGGTAACAAACTTCCTTCTGTCTGGGAAGTAATCCACTACAATTATAGAGTTTTGAAGGAGGATGAAGGCAGAGAGAAGGAGGTTTCCTGGAAGCATGTATTTGAAAGTCGTTGAGATTGTTGCGTTTCCATCCTCAGTCATGGCCATCGTACTTGGGTGATAACTAAGTTTAATGATCAGTGGATCCCACTAAAATTAACTTATGGAAAGACTGGTTTATGTGGACGTGATTATCGAAAAGGTTTGCAAGCCACGATTTTAGCCATCAAAATCACGAGTTCAAAGCAGACACGCTCAAATGTATATTACCAATAATTCTTACAGCTTATTTCCTATTTGCTGTCATGACGTATGCGCGTAAGATGAAACCAAAGATAAGTCAACCAGCGTACGTTGCATAATTTCTGGGTACCATCGAGCTAGACCTGGAGGGGGATATTTAAAACATATAAGTGATACGAAAGGATTTTATAAGCAGGAGCTTTCAAAATACTTGTGTAAATCGTCTTCAGCTGGAGCTAGATGTTCAATGTTCATATTATGTTGATTTAAAATACCGGAGGGTAGAAGAAATTGCAAATATCTCACTAATTCTGGCAACCTCACAGCTGCTCTCATGCATCATCTCTCAACGTTGGGCTAACCTGGTAGAGACGGTAGAGTTGTCGAACTGGAAAGAAGCGCTGGCTATCCTCCTCTCTTACGCTAAACCAACCGAGTTCAATGGTCTTTGTGGTAAGTACGGCAGTCTAAAGTTGTGTCTTATATTATACATGTTATAGCTTTTATAAGGTGGTGTTATAGCGTTTATGATTTATTTATTTTATTATTATTTATTATTATTTTGCGTTATTGGTTTTTGAAGATTTCTGAAAGAGAAGATAGGCGAACTGTGGCTAATTTCTAACAACTGACAATAAGTTTGATACTGTAATGTAAGGGGTAATGATATATTGTATTGCTTAATATAGCCTCAGCACTCCTGCCTTTTGTTCGCCGCCTGAGATTTCCGGTAGCGAGAAAGTCCTTGTCCCTAATTGCTTTGTGCCCAGTTGATAATAACATTGTTTCAGATACACTTGCTGACAGATTGAGTGCAGATCCCAACTACACTTTGGAAGCTACGTTGTGTTATATTTGTAGTGGAAATGTGGCGGAACTGTTGGAATGTTGGCAGAGCGCCAATTCTGATGATACTTCCAGCCCTCTTCAACTTCAGGTTCACATTTTTTTAACGCGCTACTTGCTAACACTTACCTTGTAATAATTTCCATCAATTTATGATTTAGAATGATATAAGATCCTAGGTTTTTGTTCAAAGTTTGTCTCTAATTAGACACAACTTGACACCACACATGCCAGGAGTTGATAGAGAAAGTGATGTGTCTCCAGAGCACTAACAGCACTAACAGACCCCTGGAGGGGGAGAGGGTTGTAGCTAACCTCCTCAAGTACTCCCAACTTCTAGCTGAACAGGGCAAACTGTCCAATGCTCTCACTTACATCAGCGCTACCCCCACTGTAAGTACCCTGACCCTATAGTACACACTAAGTTTAAATTAAATCTGGGATTCACTTTTCTCCGAGTAAATATTATCTGTAACATTAATTGAAAGAAAACTCGTGTCAAGATTATCTTCTCTTTACTGCTGATTCTAATTACAATGAATATTGAATAATCTGTGATACTCAGTACTCTCTATAAAGTTTATTCTCGTAGGATGCAGCTGCAGAGTTCAAGTACAAGTTACATATGGCTATAAACGACCCCTCCCTACCCCGGCCCCCTGTACCCTACACTCGGGCCAGACTACCTTCTGCCGCCTCTAGTGTCACACCCAGTGTAAGTTATTATCGTGTGATTGTCATGTGATGATAATGTTATAATCATGCAATTGGTTTCTGTACTGTTTTTAAGTTAGAAGAATATCACTTTCACACCCTCTGATTTCAGTCTCCAGCAGCCAGCACATACACCGGTTACTCACACTCCACATATAACCCCTCGTCCTACGCGCCAACTAGCTATGCTCCTAGCTCTGTAGGAGGCCCTCCTAGCTCTGTTGGAGCTCCTCCTAGCTCTGTTGGAGCTCCTCCTAGCTCTTATACTCCTGCTGCTAGCATCGTGTCTGGTAACTCCTCCTTCGCTCCTCCGGCCAAGGTAATACGGCGGGCGCCAAATCATGCTGAACATTTGCAATCTGACGAAAACGGCTAATTAAAAGTTTCTTGTGAGATTTTTGACTATGACAGGTTGTTTAAACTGTTCATTCTGTTTTCAGATCGCATACCAACCTCCGACCTACAAAGCCCCAGAGCCGCAAGCTCCTACCCCAGCCCCTGCTCCAGATCCAGCTCCTGGTCCCCCTACCCAGCCTCCATTCTCCCAACCTCCTCCAGGCAGCTTCTCCCAACCCCCTCCGGGCAGCCTCTCCCAACCCCCTCCGGGCAGCCTCTCCCAACCCCCTCCAGGCAGTTTCTCCCAACCCCCTCCAGGCAGTTTCTCCCAACCCCCGGCCCCACCAACTAGTTATGCGCAACCTCCGACCAGTTACACTCCCCCTGCGCCAGGATCATACACTGGTTCCTCCGTATCTACATTTACTCCGTACATACCTGCCCCGGGAACTGAACCTTCTCCTCCTCCTGCTAGTAAGTCTTGTTTATGTCTTGTCAATTTAGATAACATCTTCTATTTTGTTTTCTGTAATCTAATTAAGTCGATATAATATGGTCAAACATACTGAATTGTTTTCATTGATGATATCTAAACAATTAACAATGTATATGTTTTAGAGCTTGCAGCGAGACCTAAGAGTGCATGGAACGATCCTCCGATGTTAAAAAAGAAGACCGCATCCAATGCTCCTGTAGCTACTCAAAAGATAACAACGCCGGTGGTCGGTCCTGTCAAAACAGGTAAAAATACTGCTGGAAAATTTGCTGACGTGACATAATGTACTTTTAGCAGCGCGCGTTGACAAGTTGTTTGGAATTCAGCACTCATTACACGAGCGAGTAACGTACGCGCACTGTAGAATTCTCATGTAGTACTATTTTCAGTGGACCTGGATCCTAATTCTGCAGCGAACTATGCCGGACAACCGCAGCCTGGCCCTGGAGCGTACAATGCACCCCAGCCTGTCCAGCAGCCTTACAATCCTAACAGTTACGCTGCAGCTCCGCCAGAGCCAGCCCCTGCACCGGTAAATATATTCAATATCCATTCATTGTCCTTACTGTTGAAAATGGGTGATTTGCTATTGAAATGGGAATTAAAAACAATCTCATGCTCACCAGGCTCCAGTCGAAAAACCCTCAGTTCCTGATCATTACCTCCCGATGTTAAATGCTCTCGAATCTGCTACCAACGATTGTAAAAACGTCTCGCAAAACCCTGTGAGTAGCCATTTAATACACGTCTATCTTAAAGTCAGTGGAAATAACACCGGGTTAAATTGAAACTCTGCTCGTCTACTACAGTACATCTGTAAACCTGACAACTCCCAATATTCACTTCAGACGCACCGTAGAAAATTGGAAGAAGTAACAGCGAAGCTAGAAGCGCTGAAGGATAGGCTGAGATACGACTGTGTTTCTGGTGCAGTAGTGGAGAATCTCAACAACATTGCTAGTGGTTCGTTACACCATTTGTACAGACATTACTTCTGTACTATGACGGATGCAATACTTCTTAAATAAACGGACTGTTTTCGAGTTATTTATTGTCTTACCAAATTGACGGCTGAATGATCTTATACCGCTAATGACACGTGTAACATGACATCTTGCTCAATGTCGACCGTCTCATTCGGTCAACTTATTCTAGAAATTAAGAGTCAAAGTATGGAAAACATTTAGATATCAACATTTTTCTCGTATTTCAGCTATAAGTGTGAAAGATTACAACCAAGCGCTGTACATCCACTCCCATGTTGCACAAACTGCAAACTTCAGCGAGGTTGGCTCATTCTTACCCGGCATCAAAGTACTGCTTCAGGTCTGTATAAATTAGTTGCTATTAGTTAAATGGTACTTTACATTCTTTGTGCTAATTTGGTAACCATCTTTGTTTTTACCATTAGAATTAGTTCCAATAAATTTAACATCCTCACACTTTGGCTATAAACTGACTGATGAGTTTCATCTCAATAATTTATCTTCTTTTCAGATTGGGGCTCAGTTGCACACAGTACACCACTACTAAAACCTGAGCTTGTCACTTGGGCTGTTCTTAACAATCTCACGAGCGGTCCTCTGTATTGTAGTGTTTTAATAACTTTTTCTAGCTGGTTTAGTGTATAATGTTAGATCTAATAATTTTTATAAACACAGAACGAATTTCTGATATCTATAAAATTTTACAGTTGACTTGTTAAAATTGCACCGTCATGATGATATGTAGCTAATAATGAATCAATTTTAACTGAATATTATGCAATTTGAACGAATGTGTGTTACATTATCTTTGAAATGTACATTTTTGACTAATGAGCAATAAAGTAAGTAAGTTTACAGTAATATGTACTATGTTTTACGGTTATGTACAATGTTTGCAGTAATGTACAAAGTTTCGGTAACTCGCGATGTGCAGAATTGTACAGTTGTGTAGCGAATGAAATACATTGCAGCGCTTTCTGCAGAATTTAGATTCAGTATATGCCGATGTGATTTATATAAAGTGCTAATTGTGATACGAAAAGCGGTTTAACTCATTTTTCAGTATAACTTTCAGAGTCTAATTTCGACAGAATTAACAAGTAAAACTCTTAAATTACGCGAATTCATCAGAAACCTGATGTAAAAGGAAATAATACAGAACTTTTGGTTAAACATTGTTATTCAAATCATGTTCTGGAGACCAGATAGATGGCCTTTAGGTCCTTTATTTCCAATAATAGACAAATCTGATGTCGCTGATTTATCACGTTTAAACAACTGGCAGCAGCAAGCTCCAATGGTCAAAGCAGAGGCTCGAATACCAGAAATAGGGGTGGGAGAATTATGTCGTCCTGTCTTCTGAAACTAGGTTAAAGGTCCTGATAGTAGGTCCAAAAGTTAAGAACTGACGACGATATTTCCCGGTGTTATTCTACTGCAAGGGAATACAGCTGTGTTAAGTAGTCCACTAAGTGAGGGTCACCGGACCCACTGTTTGCCGGTAGAATTGGCAAGTGGACTCCATTACGCAGGAGTTCCCCATATTATATAACTCATTCTCTTCACCGGCAGTGCATCATTTCATACACACAGCAGCTTCTTCTTCATAAATTAAGCATAACTAGGGGCTATTTAATATCAATTACTTAAAACCTATTTCCATACAAATTCGTTTGTGAACGAAAAAATCAGTGCTTTAATCAAGATAAAGGTGTCACAGTAAGTAAGCACGATTCTATTCCTCTAGGTCAGTAAAATCAATCCTTTCAATTGCGAACAGTCGGTCGGCTTATATAAATACATAGCGTGTTGTTAATTTGCCGGTGTAAGTGGAAACTTAATTAGAAATTACGTTGGCTTGCTGGTTTTATGGCGACCGACTGTTGCAGCTAATTCTGACTACAAAAAACATCAACCAAATTACACTCAATCTTAGCAATTCATCTCACATCAATAAATATATATGATATAAAAATTCCATAATTTACCCATACATTTGCATTCCGTAGAACAGAATCACAACACTTTGTTCAGTGAACAATGTTCACAAAAATAGTTCCATAATTTTTAATATCCCTAGTCTAACTAAAGAAATATAATGTCGTGATTTTGCTCCTGTTGACTCTTATGTGAAACATTTCACCAGCAACAAGCACCGTTTTAGCACGAACAATCTACTTAATATAAATGGTTTGTTCGTTTAAGGCGGAGTAAATAACAAAGTTTAACTAACTTGAAATAAGATGCAATAAATTAAAAATAAGGTGCTTGTTGCGTTATCAGTAGCAGTCCACTCTGGGACTAGCTGAACTCAGTGTAAAACATGTCACGAATCAACTAACTAGGAAGCTTCTCCTAAAATGTGTCGTTGGTTAATTTGTACATAGTACAATTGAGACAATCTCGATCTTGTCCTAAAATACGTGTAACATTTTTAAAACCTATTTATAGGATATCTGACCAGGTTGAGCAAGTATATATCTTTAAAGAAATAATTTAATCATTCTAGATCGAGATTACCTCATGACTCAAAAATCTCTCATTAATGGGAATTCCTGGGAAGCACTACACGTATTGAATATTTTAAGTTTAATCCTCACGTTCCTAGATAATATTTTATTAACTTATATTATATAATAGTAGTGGAAGGCATTTTTAATTGGGTCTTTTTACCTAGCATTTTAGTTTATAGTTTATTAATCTTTATAGGAATATTTATGATGACGTGTGATTTGATTTGATTTCCTTTTGATTTAGGAAAGGTGGCGCCGAATAGAACGAAACAGGACTTTTCAAGGTTATGATTTGGTGCGTGATAATGCAGCGAGTTTAAAGTGGGCCTAGGTTTTATCTATACCAAAATTCTTATCGGTAGGTCAGGCTTATCTTCATATAAATTCAGTTCCAAAGAATTACGAAATTATGGCCACTTCCCAGCAATTCCTTCAACTCATAAATTAAATCACAGCGGTTAAATGAGCTGCCTCCATATCAGAACACCATATCTTCAAGAACAAGCTACACCAACGAGGACTTATTATCAGGTACTATTATTGTAATAAGATAAACCAGAATCAAGGCACTGTAATCAGGACAGGCTCACTGAACTGATCAAGAGAACAGACTTGATCCCGGGTCGGATATATTCTTATACTTCAAATACTACAAAATCTACAAAAAAACTAAGTTAACATACTTAAAATATTAATTATCAGACAAGCTAAACTTGAACATTTCATAAATCCACCAACATATGGCGGTTGAGGGTGCGATTGTTAACACTCGGGGAGCCCAGCCCTTGAAATAACCGGTAGGACCGGCCACACGGTATATCGTCGTTAGACCGTTTGTTAATCCTCTTATGGCCGGTTGTTTGGTGTCCGATATCTGAAAAAGATAAGGCTGTTTTTAGGTTCAGGATGTGAATATTACGAGGATATCGCATATAATTTCGTTATATATTGATAAAACTAGTGTAAGGCTAGGTTGGATATTAGTATCATTGAATCACAATGTAAGATGTGTGATATACACGAATAATATGGCTGAAGTTAGGTAACAGTAAACAGTTACAAGTACTGTTAGTTAAACTCCAAAGTAACAGCTCCATACCGTGGGTTGGGTGTTGAGAAGGGTTTTACACACGTCCAGTGGTGTGGTGATAACAGCAGCTAAGCCACCAGCCATCCCCCCGCTTACAATGTGTATCAGTGGTCTGAGAGGGTTTCTGTTATCTGATGATTGGCAAAAATGCAAAACAGAAAGTCCGGAATATAAGAACTGAATTAGGTTATCTGTTCCAGTTTAATTACAGAAATTATCAACCTGTATTCGTTGCTAGGATTGAGGTATCGCTTTATCCGCTCGTACGCCATGAAATGTACGCACTGCTGAGGTACATTCATACAAATCTGCGTACCGTACGATCTGTAAAACGAACGGACACCCTCATCCTTCCACATCGACTTGGAACACTGCCAGCTCGACTTGTAGGTTGACTTTAACTTCTGCATCCTCTGCTTAACGGCTGTAATTAATGTACTTTAGTTCTTGTGGTATTTTTAGAAACCAGATATTGATTCAGCAGCCGTTATTCGAGTTAGAATAGGAAATACAAGTTGAGAAATTGCGGAGAAGCATAGCAATGCTTGTTTCTACAAAGTTAAAATAGGTACGTACGTAGCGCGCACGCAATTTTCGTGGGAAAATACCACGAAATAGCCAAAATCGGTAGACCGTCAATAAAAGTGTGACTGAATTGCCATTACGTGCAGTGACGCAATTAGGTTTCAGTTTCTAGTTTCTACGCCCATAATTTTTAAACAACATAACTGAGCGTTGCAGGGAAAAGCTTTGGAGTGCTTCGTTCGTACAAAAATTACGTAAAGTCTCTTGAGGGTATTAAAGAATTCGCCCTGAAACTTCCACGTGCCAAAAAAGTCAACGTTACTCGAAAAAGTGAACTGCTTGCCACGAACACAGTGATCACAAAATCTATACTAATATTAAACATAATTAATAACTCACCATCAACTGGGGTCATAACTGCATCGTGAACAAGCGAGGCTCCTCCGCCAGCAATCACTGAAAATTGTGATATAAAGAAAATGTCATGGTATGACGGATTTAACGGATCAAGTGGATGTGAAATTATTGTCAAGATCATAACGAATAATTTCTGCCTAAAAGCCGTCATTTTCATCGCCTACATATATATATATGTAATATGTATGTAGATATTAGTTTTCCTCATAGTACAAAATGACAAGAAATTAGATACATTTAGTCTAGCACCCTGTACATTTAGTCTAGCACCCTGTACATTTAGTCTAGCACCCTGTACATTTAGTCTAGCACCCTGTACATTTAGTCTAGCGCCCTGTACATTTAGTCTAGCGCCCTGTACATTTAGTCTAGCACCCTGTACATTTAATAGACAACTTCCAGATTACTTCTACCGAACTTCTTGGAACTATCACTAAACATATCACCCGCTGGGGACTAGCAGGACAGTAATCTGGACAGCCAACCGAGCTTGACAGCCAAGTTGCCAGCCATTCGGGGAAGGCAGCGGCACCATGCCAGCAATTCGGGGAGTCACCACAATTTGAAGGTAGAAATCGTTTATATTGTAAGCTAAGGATATTTCTTGGCTGTTGGATACTGAGCTGTGGGGGGAGGGGGGGGGGGGGCAGCCCCATTTTTGCTTATGCCCATTTAACTAAAAGTTGAGGAATTAATTGGTCGATACCAATCAATACCCATGCACATTGCACATTTGACTAAAAATTTGGGAATAAATTGGCATGAGTTTGCCCCCCCCCCCCCCCCGGCCCCACCCCCAAAGAAAAAAAAAGACAAATCCATATATTGGAAAACTTACTGTGTCCCATCATGTTATTCCGTCCCAACTTAGTGCCCATATATCTCTTGGAAGCCTCGTAAGAAGCGAAGTAAGCTCCGTGAGCAGGTCCCGCACAGGTAAACACCACGGGCATCCCGCGCCACAAACTCCGCATACCCTCAGTTGCCAGGATGGACCGGAACGCGTTGAGCATTGAAGTGTAGCGCATTTCTATCGGCGTGGTGACTGCCATCATACGAGTCTGTAAATAAACAAGGAGATGTTATAATTATGTTACTTCTGCTAGATATGTCAACTTACACAGCTTTAAACCAGGATCAAATCCTCGCATCATGCCTTGACCACCATTTCTCAAAAGTCACACTTTCTGTGGTACACCCTGTATAGTGTATACACACATTGTACCATGTTAGCTGGTAATATTTAACTGGCAAAGTTACCATCAAATGTAAATGTACACACCACATGACATGAGACAAGCACGATATTTATACAATCTCCTATAAAACCTGTCTAAAACGGGTCCCACCGCTAAATTATCATGTTTTCAGTATTTCGTAAGATTTGAGTTGCATACCTTGATGAGATCGACAGGGTACATGGCACAGTGTTCAGCGATACCGGCTGTACACCCAGCTGCTACGTGTACCATACTGTTCTCTGTTGGTAAATCCTCGTACTGGTCATCCGACTCTACAAACTTCTCTGTGGACAGGTGTGTTAATGTGTGTACTGTGTAGAGTGCTGTGTGTACTGTGTAGTGTATATACAATATGTATATATGTTATGTATAGCATAGTACTGTCATTATGTAACTTTTATTACTGTTTATGTGCAACAAATTTGATCAAATTCAACATATTATGGTTAACTCAGGTTAACAAGAAGCTAACTTCTGGTTATTGACGTGTACTATTGTTATAAATAGTTAAATCTCACCTATGAAGCTGTGGACAGTGTCGGGTATCTGGAACTGGTGAGGATGGTGATTTGTTTGATTGAGGGAATGTTGGATGGAATTGTCTGTTCGGTTGTCGGCTGTTTTGCTTCTGTCCGCTGCTGTGTGTAGCTGTATGTTCTCCGGTGATAAGGACATGGACACTCGCGAAACTGCCATAACTAGCAAGGAATTAGGTTATTAGGGTAACTAACAAGGAAATCAATTTAATATGATCAATAGAGTCCAATTATATAATGTGTATTATATTGTATATGTTAAAAAATGAATTGTAACTAGCATTTAGAAATTGAACAGTGTAATACGGTGAGACATGACACAGCAAATCCCGGATAAAATACTAGTCGAATAAACTTAATTTCAGAAATTACAAATTTCAGAGATTCACAAAATATAATACCATAATACCTTCACTCATGATGACTGCGTACGGAAACGCATGAACACAGCGAGGGCTAGTCTAGAGTGCAGCACGAAATTTAAGGTAAGCTATCATGTATTTGCCGAGGGTATCATGTATTCTGGAAGTAAGTTGACATTTCAACTGTTGAAAACCTCTTTTCTCATTTAGTCACGTGGTCAATCTGTCACGTGAGGGGGGGGGAGGTCACGTGACATTATATTGAGTTTGTACTGGGATATAATATCTTGGACGTGTGCCCACGCCCACACGTATTATTGTGAAATTTTCATTATCTAAAAACCTCCGTGCGTGACAGTTATCGGAAAACGGAATAACTTTTAATTGACAGTTCAGTATGAAGGTATTATGTGATATTATATGGTGCATTTAATGGTGCATGGTACTATGTCATACAGTGAAGAAGGACAGGAGCTGAGTTTGATAAATTTCTTCGGAGACTAATCAAGAGTTATCATGTCGGAAGTGTCCGGGATCTCGCACAAATAATTCCCGGAAGATATTATAATACGTACAGTGTACACATAAAACTTTACTCCATGCCGGTCTTGAACCAGTTATTCCTTTTGTTTGATTTGCATGATCGTATTATTATATCAAAAGATAATTATTTATATGAACTGTTTAAAAAAAAAGAAATTAAGTATGTCATTGAATTAATTTTATTTTCAAAAATTGTCATTCTAAAATAAACGGCATGAACTAAAATAAACTTCAAAATTTGTCCAGAATATGTATTTGATCGTTTCTTATTAATAAAAACAGCAAAATGTTTTATGAAATACTTCAAAAATAAAAAACCTCAACTACGACAAAGTTACAATGTGTAGTTAAATCACGAAGGCGATAAACCGGTATCTATTATCATCAACTAATTTTATCCAGGAATTCCACAAAATAAGTTCGTCATTTCCCCTCACTAAGTTTTCAAAATTAGTCTCCCTACTTTCAGTACAACATCCGTAATACATACAGCCCCAAAACCACGCTGATCTCGATGGTTCACAAGTGGGTTTACCTGACCATGTAATAGGAAATATGTTGGACACATCGCCATTCGGCTTCCTTCTTTCGATAGCGAAATGTAATTTGGGCAGTTGATCTAAAGGTTCTTTTAAGGAAGCCCATTTCATGGTGAAGGAGTCAGGGTTCTGCCCTCTCATCGCTGTAGTGGACAAGAGACACTGCAGATCAGCAAATTTAGGGTCGTTGATCGTAAACACAACATTCATATCTTTTTTAAATATCTCCTCAACGAACTCAGAGCCAAAGTATTCTCTTGTCAAAGCATGCGAAGTCCCTACACCTTTGATAACAAGTTTGTTGCAGTTTTTTAAAAGCTCACAAAATTTTGTACATCCCGGAGAACCTGAATTCACAAAGAGTTTATTGACATATTTATAATCAACATTTTTCCATCTTTTTTGTTCTTTGATTATAACCAACTTTTCAATAACTGACTCGTTAACAATATCACCTATGGAGTTGAAGGTTCTGAACCAGATACCATCAATTAGTTTGTAAAGGTTGTCAACCGTTTCACTTGCAACTAACATATCAATCGCACCATTCAACTGAGTGGGACCCAAAAACGGCGCAAAACAAGCCATGGTAACTGGAGTCATGGTAACTGTAGCCATGGTAACTGGAGACAACTCTCCCACTCCAATCGCTTTGTTGCGAGATGTATTTTGTTTAAGCTTCCCTAAAATAACCTGATAATCCTCTTTTTTAACATGATCTACATTTTCCAGCAAAGAGAATAGTTTCCTGTGTATATCTGGTCTCATTTCGTGACAAGAGCTCATATCCAAATTCGCGAACAAGTATCTGCTATTCTCATCAAGGACCAACTTCTCTTCTTTCTCAAAATGAGCAATCAGAATCTCAACTAAGACATGGACATCTGTCTTTACAATATCTATACAAGCATCAATCTGTATTAAAGTGGAAGCAGATAAATCAGACAAGTACTGGTTTATGAAGTTATCTCGTATTGTAACTGAGATAATGTTCATTTTCTTTACCACCAAGTTCAGGAAATCTCTTTTCTTCAGAGCAGATAGCAGGTACACAGCCTCCTCTACAGCAAACAACATATCAGGGTAGCTACTCTCACTGTCTAGTTTATCCAGATAGGATACAAAATACTCCTCACATCTGGCAACAAGCCAGCTCACATTGAACACAACACTCATTTTGTTCACATCTCTGAAGTTACCCAGGTTCAAAGCCTCCACTTCTCCCGTGTAGGAAGCCTCAATAAAACAGTCCACTGCCTCCCTGCTGAAGTCATTAGCTTCAAGTGACGTCAGGTGAAGGTCTGTGGTCAGGTCATCAATAACAGGGCTGTTCAGGGAGAGTATGATAGAGTTAGCCTTGATCTGCAGTCCTTGTTGGAGGTTGAAGGTGAGGTTACCGTGACTTGGTGCTCCGATGTGGTGTCTACCAAAATCTGCTGGTACACAAACTTTGGGGGCCATTGCTGAGCAGTTTAAACATTAGATAATTCACTTCTCATATGTTTTGAAGAGATCAGATAATTTTAGTGTAAATAAAGAACTGTAAGACATCAAATTCTAAGCCATGATTCTGAGTATTATTGCTCGCTTTCGAGAGCTTCTTAAATTGTTTGATATGAATTTTACCTTTCATGAATATTGAAACCTAGATGAATTTGATGTTTTACTGTTTCAGAGTATATACAAATTATGATATACCTAAGAGTTTGGGTGCCATTGATGAGTAATTCAAATATCTATACCCTATAGGAAAGTGTACTATTTTATTAAACTTTAATGCATCAGAAAGCAGTTAAGATATCGAATGACCATAGTTTATATACTTATACAGATAATTAATAATGTAATAAAATCCGAAATAGATTCAATGAATTATTATCAAAGCATTTAAAAACAATAAAAAAATTCATGTAAATATGACTTTATTATAAAACAAATGTTTATAACTCAAAAAAAAAAACAATCAGTTGAAGGATCCTACTATAATTCCGACCAATGTCTTCCTCATTTTCAAATTGTTTTTATCACTCCAAACATAACCCACCACCATCTCATGGTCACAAGTGGTTACCGACATGATGAAATGTACTCCATCTCTCAAGCAATGAATTTGGCTTACAGCTTTAGAGCCCATTCATGAAGGATAGTGTACTTATGGCAACATAGCACAAATTGGACTAAACAACTTTACTTTAAACCTAAAACAATATTCTGAAAGATCAAGTCCAATGTCATTCGTTTAAATCAAAATTGTCAGGATATCAATATGATATTTTATCATTTTGTCTTTACACTCAACCCTACAACTAGATTAAGTTAAAACCATTATGAAAGACCGTTCATTGACAATATTGAAAAGAGACAAAAAGGAAAGTGTCTGGTTTATGTATGTACGGATCTCCCCGCTTTAAATTTAGCAATATATATCTTTTTAATATATTCCAGGATATTTTGGTATGTCTTCACAAGTATATCAACCAAAAGTATGTTCGCCCTCAATGAAGCACAGATGACACCTATTCAAAGCAAACATAGTGCAAATGCATGTTATACTAAATAGTTATTTTAACAGTAATTTTTCTTCGGCAAAGAGCCACCTCTACAGCAACACTTGGTGCCTTCTGTTATTATGAGATAGGATAAAAATTAATCAACAAGCCATTAACACAACACATTGTCAATTTAGACTAAACCATGGACCAAAATCCATGTCTGGTTATATGACAGTAGTTATACAATAGGAGAGTATGTAAAGCTATGCTCTGTTGTGAAGTGGGTTCGGACTTCCATTGTGCACATGTGGACAAACTTGGGCATTAGCATTTAAACATATAATCATTCAATTTAGTCAATAATTATTAATAAGCTGTACACAAATCTAACTTCATTATGCCTTTCGATAAATTTAAGATTCCTTCATAATTGAATAATAATGTTTTATTGGTAAACAATTATACATTTGCCTTTTAACAATATTAACCCTAATACATTATTAAATTGCACAGTTAAATGAACCTGTAAATAACAAAATATATTATAATCGAGATATTCACCTTATCAATTAACCACCATAGATACAAATACCCATGTTAAAATTTGATATTTATATAATCATTAGATACTCATAAAAAACATATTCATGAGGTTAACCAAAATGGTTTTAACCACATGTGGCACAATACCACACAATTCCTACCGACACAGTTTTTCGCACCAATGATAAACATACTCAACATCAATTTAATCTCCAATCAAAATAATTTAGAAAGTAACATTTCAATTCTTGATAAAAGTCAATCAAAAGAGAACAGATTTGCTTCTGCATAATTGAGAGGGTGTAACTAATATCAACAAAGTCAAGATTATCAATCCGGAACTTAAGGTCGCTATCTTTCTTGAAAATCTCTCGATGAACTCCTCTGCCGAGTTATACTCTCTACTGGAAGCATGAAATGTGTTACCTCTTCTTGTAACAAGTCTCTTGCAGTTCTTCAGAAGGTTTAAAAACTTATCACATTGAGGAAGTTCTGATACAACAAATAACCTATCGACATATTCGTAATCAACATTTTTCCATCCATTCCGTTCTTTGATTTTAGCCAATTGTTCCAAAGTTGACTCGTTAACAGTATCGCCATGGCATAGCCGTAGTCTTAACCAAATGCCATCAATAAGTTTGTACAGATTATCAACCATTTGGCTGGAACTCAATATCTCA